CTCTCTCTCTCTCTCTCACACACACACACACACACACACACACACACACACACACACACACGACACTTTGGAAAGTGAAGGGAGAGGTGCGCTCCAGTGGAATAGCGTGGGTTCATCCTCACATTCAGTTTCCGCAGGCAGCCACTGCCATGCGTCTACTGTATTGTCTCCTCCCTCCATTCATGCTGCCTGTAGAGTGTGTGGCTACATTAACAACGTGTTAACCCCTGAGGGCTCAGCCAAGTGTTAGTTCATCATTTAGCAGCAAGTCATTCCCTGGGAAATAGCCAACCCCCTGACTCCACCACCTCAACCAAGCTTCACAATCATCATTGCTGTGTACTGTATTAAATAGTTTTTTTTTTAAACTTATACTGTGTGTATATTATATATAATGTCTTTTGTCTGGCGAAAAAAATTTCCCTGGAACCTAACCCCCCCATTTATATTAATTCTTTGGGGAAATTGGATTTGCTTAACATCGTTTCGCTTAAAGTAGCATTTTTTTCAGGAACATAACTACAATGTTAAGTGAGGAGTTACTGTAGTAGTGGGTTTGGCAGTAGCATGATGGGCACATGTGAACAGCTGCTTATGATTTCACTGGATGTCTGCTCTGAAAAATGAGCAGCCTTAACTTAAGTGGACAGCAATCGTCCATCATCCTCAACTGTGCTTGGCAAGTGTCCTTATTTGACTATTTACTTACTGTAGGTAACATGGGAATATTATTTGTTGTTTAACATTTATATTGTTGTAGTGTAGAGGTCTCGTCCAGGTCGGGGCTACACTAGACAGTCCCTGCTCCAAGTTGCTTACATTTTACACAACTCTTTTGAGTATACCTATGTAATGACTACTACTTTCATAAATCTACTGTGTTGGTGACAGACAGCTCATAGACACCAAACTCTGAGATATTTACTTGGATAATGTCTGCTATGGTCAATTTTAAATTTTCAGCAAGAGTTAGCCCATTTTCCCTTAAATGTACATTTAATTATAGTTAAAAGTTTATCTTTGTGTGCAAAGTGAGAGCAAGCATCATCTTTTTCATTTTGCCTAGATTTGCTGAAGAGACTGTGTTCTATATTTTTTGCAATAACCATGTGCTAAAATTGATACTATCCTTGCCAAATGCATTTTCTGTTAAGAAACCTTGAGAAAATCTTCTTTTAACTTCAGGGATATGGTGTTAGGAATTGATAAACCGATTGAGATTATGGCATGAGTTTTGTTCACTGTCTCTTTTAATTCTTGGAGAAAGTCAAACTTGATGTCACTTGTTAAGTTGCCAGCAGTTTTAAACTGTATATTTAAACCTACTTCATGATAATGTTTGAATGAAAGTATCTAAAGTTATGCTTTGAAGGTTGCTGTTGTGTATCCCTCTATTTAAATAATTTCACATTTAAAATCTTGTTCATTTTTTTTGTAGCTGTTAATACAATAGTAGAAAATCTTCCAAGATATGTCTATTAATGTTTAGGGAAGTCTAAACCCTGCTTATTGTTGAATTGTACAACAATTGTTGTAATGTAATATGCACATTTTATATAGCTAATATTTGGAATGGACAATTTGTTTGCTTTGAACAGTTGCAGATTGCATGAGATATTTATAAAGACTTTGTATTATCAACCAAGGCTTAATCTGCACTAGAAAAGGTTTGTCTGTATAGCTAGGCTGTAGACACAGTTTATACTGGCAAAAGATTGCTGTTGTTAGTATAGCTTATACCAGTTCCCCTAACAAAATTAGCTCTACTGGCAAAAGCACTTTTTGCTGGGATAACTGCTTCCACACGAGGGCTTTTGTTGGTATAAAAATGACATTTAATAAAAATCACATTCATGATCAACAAAAAAAATTGTGTGAACCTAGCCCAAGACAAGGACTTCATGGGTCACCATTCAAGAAATCTAAATGTTCCTGACGGTGTTCTTGGGTTTCTGCTTGTACCTCACTGTAGAAATTGCTGACATTTTAATTATTTGTAAGTGTTTTTAAAGGTAAAATTAAAGTTTAATTAAAGGGTTTTAATTAAAAGGTTTTGTGCAAAGGACACTATTAACTATTATTGCAGTGTATTTCTAGTGAGAACCCTCAGGGATCTGTTCTTGGTCCTATGCTATTTAATATTTTTATTGATGACCGGGAAGAAAACACAAAATCACTGATAAGGTTTGCAGATGGCACAGAGATTGGGGGAGTGGTAAATTATGAAGAGGACAGGTAACTGACATAGAGTGATTTGGATGACTTGATAAACTAGGCTCAAGCAAACAATAGGTGTTTCTTTACAGCCAAATGTAAAGTCATATATCTGGGAACAAAGAATGTAGGCCATACTTGCAGAATGGTGGACTGTATGCAATTGCACTGACTGCCATAGAACTCCCTGGCATAAAGTTGTGGTGTTGCAGGGGTTCTTGTCTCTAGCACCCCCCTTCTCACACCCTCCCCAGTAACCATTTTCTTGGTCCCATAAGAGCCTGTCTGTCTGGGTTTTCCATGGCCTGTCCCTCTGGCCAGGTCACTTAAAAGTTCATCCCCTTCTAGTGTAAGAAAGGTTCACCTGTAAGTTCAAATAAAAATACAAACTAATAATTCTTCTGTTCCCTTGCGCTACTCTGAAGTTCTCTGCCTTTCGCCTGCAACCCCTACGTCCTGCAGAGCTGCTTCCTATACTGTTTCTTCCCAGCAGGTTTCCCCCACTATATGTTGCCCTCCCTGCTCCTTGTGGATATCTTCTAGTCTGACTTTACCAAGCCCTTCCCAGAGAGAGGGAACTCCCCTTTGCTCCTATCTCCTGGGTCTCCTCCCCCAGATTGTGTTCCCAAGTCAGTTTAAATAGTCCTGTCACTGATCCCCTGCAGACTTTTAATTAAGTCGCTGGACAACTATCCCCCATCTGAGTGTGATGGTCACAGGCAAGGCTGTGCCTGGCTTGCCTTAAAGGGCTAGACAGCTTGTGACAGAGACCCTATCCTGAGAAACAGTGACTGAAAAATTCTTAGGTGTCATAGTTGCTAATCAACTGAATATGTGCTTCTGGTGTAACATTGGCTAAAAGGGCTAATGTGATTGTAGGATGCATAACCAGGGAGTGTTGAGTAGAACTGATGCAACTACTACTGGAATATTGTGTCCAATTTTGGTGTGCAGAATTCAAGAAGGATGTTGAAAAATTAGAGAGGGCTCAGAGAAGAGCCATGAGAATGATAAAAGGATTGGAAAACCTGCATTAATAGTGAAAGATCTAAGATGTTCCATCTGTGTAGGTTATCAAAGAGAAGGTTAAGAAGTGATTTAATCACAGTCCATAAGTATCTACAGGAAGAGTAGCAATTTGATAATAAGGAGGTCTTAAGTCCAGCTTGTGATCCAGTGACTGGAAGTTGAAGTTAGACAAATTCAGACTAGAAATAAGGTGCCAATTTTTAATAGTGAGGGTAATTAACCATTTGAGCAATTTACCTAGGGTTTTGATTGTCTCATAAAGTGTGTGTCAGCTGAATATTCTGCTTTTTATTTTTCAGAAACCAGCAAACATTCTGGTAATGGGAGAAGGTCCTGAAAGAGGAAGAGTCAAAATAGGTAACTCTTTCAATAACATATTCATTAGATATACAATGAATAATGAACTTTCTATGCAACGTGGTAGTTTAAAATAACAGAACATTCTAAAATTCACTGTATTCTTGAGAAGAAGATTTTGTACATAACTCCTAATTAAACTGAATATTGGCCAAAAAGTATATTTGAAGTTAAGAATTTAGCAAGGATTTGACATTTATATAGATAATGAGGACATGTATACTTACACTAGATAGGATAAAAGTATAGATGAGGGCATAAACCAAATACTAACTATCAACAGTTAGGTAGAAATTTTCCTTGTGGCTATGTTTATCAATAATTGCCCAACACAGACTTCTTGCAACTTCTACCTACCATTCAGGTACCGGTGACTTTTAGAGACAGGTTACTGGACTAGAAAAGTAACTGGATAATTGATCTGATATGGTATGGCAATTCTTATGTTCTTAAGTACTGGTTTTAACAATTGTTCACATTTTTGTTAATGCAATTACTGGAAATCCATTTTTGGTAAAAGAAAAAAAGTTCAATATTTAAGAATTGTGGAGCAATAGTGGAATTATTGTAACCAAGAATTAATATGGTATTTAACAATGCTACATTTCCTCAGACAATGTTAACATATAAAATTTAAAGAGATGGTGCACTTTTCTTTTGAAGATTTCCCTATACAACAAAAAACTATTAGGCATCAAAGCGGAAACACAAAATCACTGTGGAAGCTATTCATCACATATCTAATTATACTATACAGGTACTAGGCCAGGGGTCGGCAACCTTTCAGAAGTGGTGTGCCGAGTCTTCATTTATTCGCTCTAATTTAAGGTTTCACGTGCCAGTAATACATTTTAATTTTTTAGAAGGTCTCTTTCTATTAGTCTATAATATATAACTAAACTATTGTTCTATGTAAAGTAAATAAGGATTTTTAAATGTTTAAGAAGCTTCATTTAAAATTAAATTAAAATGCAGAGCCCCCCGGACCGGTGGCCAGGATCCAGGCAGTGAGAGTGCCACTGAAAATCAGCTCGTGTGCCGCCTTCGGCACGCGTGCCATAGGTTGCCTACCCCTGTACTAGGCAATAATAAAGAGGATATCAAATTTGTTTTTAATATAGCAAATGTATGCTATTTTTAGGTATTGGGTGGGAATGTTCAAATCAGTTAGGATAAAATAGTAACCCACCTGAACTTTTTCCCATTCCTTGACTCAACCTGAACTTTTTTGAAAATGTTTGACTAAGTTTTGTGTTTATATGCTTCTACAGTTCTTTGTATTGGTCACTCCTAGAAAGAGGAGAGCTGAACTGTTGTGAGAGAACCCTTTTATTTGAGATTTTGCATGCAAAATTGCTTTAAAAACAGTTCAGGTGAGGTTTGGATATGCATCCATGCTTTTGAGTGTTTATCCAGACTTGACTGTCTGCTTCTGCCAATGTTCCTCCTCATTACTATAAAGCCAGTCCTATATAAAAATACATTTCTATCTCTATATTATCTTAGCACTTTTGATTTATACAACTTGATAACATTTGAAATTTACTGCCATTAGAGTGTGTATTAAAAGGCATTCATTGGTGGATTCAGCAGAGAGGCCAGGATTTAGTGCTTGATCCTGCAAATATCTTAGGGCTTGTCTATACAATATGTTCCTGTGCAGCAAGCCAGGGTGCGAATCTACAGCACACTAGCTTGCTGTGCAGTTATGTCCTATGTGGACATTGCTACAGCACACTGGAAGTTCTGTAGTATGCTTTGGCTTACTTTGATTTAAAAGTAGTAGTAGCCAAAGAGCATTCTGAGACTTTTAGCGCACTGCGGCAATGTCCATATGGGACATTGCTGCGCAGCAAGTCAGGGTGTAAATCTACAGCACACTAGCTTGCTGTGCAGTAATGGTAGTTGAGGGAACTCTGCTAATGTGCAGACTGAACTACTTTCTTACTCCTAGAGGTGATCCTTCCAAGTCAGGGTTCGGGTACATTAGAAGGATAGTACAGGCAAACTTGCACTGCCATTGTTTTACTCTCATTTTGTGGATACATTGGCATCAGTCACCAGGGCTACCCTGGCACTCCTGGCTCTGCAGTAGCGAGCAATTGCCTTGGGGACATCTCATGGAAGCTGGGCTCCACAGGTAGGGGCTGGCTTCAGGGGGTGTCGCTGGCTGGCGTTGGGCTCCTTCGGGGGAAGAGACAGGAGCGTGTCAAGGCGCAGTTTGGAGCTGTGCCACTCGTCCTGTTTGGGGAGTGTCTGGCCATGCAGAGGCAGCCCAGCTTGGGGAGCAGGGTAGAGAAGGCTCCCGGGGAGCTAGCCAGCGCCCTGGCGCCCACAGCACAGAGAGCCAGGGGCCCAAGCAGGGCAGGCGGCTCCCACCAGCTTCTGATCTGCCGGCTTCTGGTAGGATGCAAGCCCCATAGTTTGAAAACCTCTGTGCTAAATGGATGGCTGAAATCTGGGGGGGCACATGGCCCCCGCATGCCTGCCCTGCCCCTGCAGCTTTGCACCCTGGGTGGCTGCCCTGCTCGCCCAGCCCTGATTACAGCCATGATATAATTGTTTTACAGTACTACAGATCCACGGTGAAGCCACCTTTTAAATGTTACATAACGGTATCACTTAATGAAGTCAATGGAGTTGGGCCCAATATAATTTGAAGTAATTCAGTCAGATATCTAATAACCATGATTTATAATGTTCAATGATATTAGGTCACATCGTATTCTAATAAACATTTTGCTTATCATGCTTATAAATATTGATTGTCATTGTGTGACTTATGTATAGTCAAACAAATGTTTTAATATTTATTTTTCAGCTGACATGGGTTTTGCAAGATTGTTCAATTCACCTCTGAAACCTTTAGCAGATTTGGATCCAGTTGTGGTGACATTCTGGTATAGAGCTCCAGAACTGTTACTTGGTGCCAGACATTACACAAAAGCAATTGGTAAGTTACTGTATAGGGAAATGAAGTTGTTTACAGTTTCAGGATAACTGTATGTGTATTCCTTCTGTGGCCCATTCCAGAAGTGCTCAGTCAGGTCTCCCACTGTCACCTATCTCTGGGTGGCGACTATTGTCCCACTCCCCTCTGAGCAGGATTAAAGACTGCACAATCCCCTTTTACACACTGTGATATCCCAGCAAGCCAGTCTGCCTAACAGCCAGCGCCTGTGCTTAGCTTAGGACAATAACAGTGTTTTTGCCAGTGACATTGGTAAGCACATTTATTCGCAGGGCAAAAGCATTACAGAAAAAACAGTAAATTAACATACACACTTACTAAATATACCAGAAATAACCTATTTTCCACATGGGGAGTCTAATAGGCCAATGTTCCTTCCAAGCCTTCAGCAAGGGGTGGGGCCTTTGATTGGACAGAAGGGTCTGTCCATTTGCTGAATCAAAAGGAAGACCACAAGTTAGTTTCAACTCATCCTTTTATACCAAAAGCCCCTCTCTTTGTCTCTGGAAAACACAGAGGGTGGAACTTTTCTGGAGGAGTTTACAATCCCAGGGATAATCAGCCCCCACTGGTTTTAGCTCCTGGAGGAGCTGTAATAACCTCCTCCCCCCCTCAGGGAGTAGAACACAGTCATACATAAACATTCATAAATTTTGTACATTGGTCCCTAAAGATAGTACATGGAGTTGCAATATCTGGCAGTTTACCTTAAGCTTCCTAAACAAGTAAGTAAACTGGAAGGCATAATAAAGTGCTGCAGAGTATGTTGAACAAAGAAGCTTTGTTTCAGACAGAGGAATTCTTTGAGTGGCCTCTGTACATTCCCACTCATGGGTGTGCAGGTGGTGAAACTTCAATAGGGGAACATTTCATAGCAGAGCCTGTTGGAGCATGCTTGTGCCCTCTGCTGTCCCTTTCCTCATGGTTCCTGAACATTCTGAGGGCCAGATTATAAAAGGGATGTGGTGCTCCAGCTGCCTCAGTGCCTTCCCACTGCAGCAGCAGTCAGACCAGGAGCCTCTCTAGGCTGCTCTGTCCCAGAGTCAACCTCTTTGAAGACTCAGTACATTAGATTTCTAAATTAGTTAGGATTAGTGTTATAAATTTAGCTTATTTTCCTTATAAAATTATTTCCATTATTAGTTTTTATTACTTGCCACACCGTGGTGTGGGCTTATGGATCGTATGGTGAATTTGAAGGGGAAGAAGCCAGTATTTAAGTCGTGTACCTCTTTTCCCTGCTTTGGACGACCATATGAGATGTCTGGGGGAAGGACATATTCTTTCAGTGTGTGCAGACTACAGTGCTTTCACCAAAAGAGCTGGCAAGAAGCTTCAGAACCATCTCCAAGCTTTACTACTTCAGCAGACAATCACAGCCAAACCCTCTGGTTTCTTAAACCCTGGTTTTGTGAGTACTGAGAGGCCTGGAACAGTACCTTAGCCCTCGGGGAATAAAAAGTCCAAGATGCTTACAAAGGTACTGTCTTCCACTTCTGGAGTGAAAGCAAAATCTTAGGTATTGAAGGATCCTAAGCCATTGGATCATAAGCCTAGAAATAGCAGAACCCTACAGGTGTCAGTCTGTGTTAGCATAGCCAGTTCTAATAGGAATGCCCCTTTGAATCCAATGTCTCCACTTCTGGATAAGAGTGTGGCATGAGATACAGTTCCTGTTAGCAGAGCCAAGCACTGTTCTCAGTCTTTCTTGGTTCCCTCAAGATCAGTTCCAAAAATACCTTGTGAACTGAGGCCAGAGGTTAGTTAGTTTTGGAGAGCTTTTGAAGGTTTGAGGTTCCTCGTGCCATCCCTCCCACCCCTAGCATGCCTAGGGTGCTTAGCATACTCAAGGACCCGGGCTTCAAGAACTGCATGGTCTTCCTCTGGGACTCCCTGGTCAGTGACAGCTACAACACTTGTTTGTATTGCTTCAGGGAAGCTCATATCTCACCCAGCTGTAACATCTGTCAGACTTTCTCTCACTGAACTAGTCAATCCCATGAGTTCAGACTCTGAACGTTCCTGGTGATTGCTCAATGAGACCAGAGTCTGACTCTAGCCCATCAGACTCACTGTGCATTGGGCAAATGCAACAGAAAGTGCCCTTTCAAGCACAGTTATCTCCAGCTCTGGGACCACTGCAAGCAGAGTTAAGGACTCTAGAAGAAAATAGGGGAGACCTGAAGAGGGTAAGAGTAAACACTCTCACAAGGACAATGTGAAAAATCCCTTTCTAAGTTCTCTTCTAGGAAAAGGATTTCTTCCACAATTCACTCTGTTGAGTGAGATTCTGCACCGCAGTGCAGGTTTGTCAGAAGCTTAAAGAGAACACGATACTTGTTCCTTGGCATTGTCAGCCAAGAGTGCTCTGGACCAATGTCCACTAAAACAGTGGAATAAGGACCATGCTCTTCAGGGACCCCTCTCACAAGAGGCTGCTCAGGTGGTAGTACAGATAGGGACCATACACCTGGAAGTACTCTAGTTACTATACAAGACAAGTAGCCATTCTTTACATCTCAACAACATGTGCAAATAAAAGGTATCAGAGCAAACACTACACAGATGCTCCTCAGTTCATGTAGCTACAGACCATACCTTTACCCCAGTAGGTACTATGACTGGGAATCTGATGAAGATTATTGGCAGTCTTGGCAGAATCTTGAGCCAGATGGGTTTATTGGTCCTCACCTACATATTTTGGGGATGTTGAACATACTTGTCTTACAGGGATCCATCCCTCCTGGAAGTCAGCAGAAGCCTTATACATTGGATCCTTTGCTCCCAAATCCATCTCTGTCACTGGAGTACAGAGAGCATTCCCCAGTGGTTGTCCCATATGTTGTCAGAGGAAACAATGATGGGCCCCACTGAATACCAGGATGCGGATCTGGAACCTGATAAGTTGTCTTCTGCTTTAGGAGTCCTTTCACCATCTTTCCCATAGCCTTGCCCTCAGAATATTCAGTAACGGGGGGAGGAGCAGGTGCCAAGAACATTCCAGATGACACTGTTGTGAAATGTTCCACAGTCAGAGTTGCAACACTGGCACATTCCATTGGTGTTAACATGTAGAGTCCGTCTGAAAGAACTCTAGGTACATGTGAATAAACTTCATTTCTATCTGCAGAGAAATATAAGCAACATCATAAAATATATTCAAAGCTAGTAGTTCCAAAAATGCTGCTTTTCACCAGTTGAAATATGTAAGTAACGATGTTAATATATTGTGTAAAAATGGATAATGTAAAGAACTTAATTTGGGAGAACAGCAAAACGTAACTTGTCTTACAGCTTTATCTGCAAGCTTAAGGATGGAGTTTGAATGACTGCTGGCTGAGCTTCTTACTAAAATCTAGTATTTCTTTAACAATTGATGTTATCAAGAAGATGTAACAAACCAGAACTCATGGTCTGTTCACTTATTTGTGATATGAACAAAACTGAAGTATAGAATGAGTTATAAGTATAGAAAGGGCTATTAGAGTCTCCTCTTAGTTTACTGGTTTCAGCATCGTAGCCATGTTAGTCTGTATCAGCAAAAAGAATGAGGTAAATATAGCGGTCAGTAGGTTTTCAGTATAGGATGGTGTGGGGATGTATCATCCCTACACCAACCTAATGGAAAGTTCCATGA